TCACAGGGTGTTGAAACATCAGCTTAGAGGTTCTTTGAGGGCAGAGAGTAAGACTTAGCTACTTCTCATCCTAGCACAATGTCTGACATATGATAGACCTTCTGTAAATATTTGTTCAACTGTTGACTAAAACAGACTCTCATTTGCCTCACCTTCACTGCTGTGATTCTCTCATCTCTCACCTGGATTACAACAACAGGCTCGACTGCCACTGTTCTCCCAGGGAGGCCTAGCTCCAAATACTGTTTACACTGAGATCAGAATTGGCTTGTAAATTGCTAATACGGACACTTTGTAGAGAGGCTCAGAGAGCAAGAGAAACAGGAAGGGAGGCGTAACAGAAAAAAATGGGCTGTTTATCCAATTGGGTCACTCACTGTGACAGAAAACGAATGACTAAACTGGGGCAGTGAGTCTTCTGGCCTTATGTTGACATCATTTGCTAACCCAAAGACAAGAAAATCAGAAAGTTATCTTCCTGTGTGTTAAGACACTGACAAAAGAAAAAAAAAAATCCACACAGTGGTATTGGATTAGCCATTCTTCTGAACTACTACCAGACCACAGTCCATTTAGGAAGACAAAGAAAATTGTAAAAGGTTCTGATATTTCTGGTTGTGGATCAGTGAGATGAAGAACCTAAAGAAGAAAAATAGATATTGATGGAGATTTCAGATGATAAGATAATCAGAAAATTTACCTCTGATGCTTTTCCTCTTCCAAGTTAACCCCATCAAGATAGCTAAGGATTGATGCTGCAATAACAAGTAACTCCAAACCCTAATGGCTTAAAACAGCAAACATTTACTTCTTGCTCACATTTCACATCCATTGTGGGTTGAGTATCAGATCTGCTCCATAGTTTTTACATCCTCACTTTGGAAACCATCCAAACTGATAAAGAAACTACTATCTAGAACCACATTATCCAATAAAAACATAATGCCAGCCACAAGTGCAAACTCATGCATATTTTAAAGTTTCTAATAGTCATTTTAAATAGTAAAAAGAAACAGATAAAATTACTTTTAATAGTATCTTTTATTCAAAATAGTATCTTCTCAACAAGTAGTATCTATATTCAAAATAGTATCTTTTCAACAAGTAGTAAATATTTCCCTAATGACTAACGATGTTGAACATCTTTTCATGTGCTTATTTGCCATCCATACATCTTCTTCAGTCAAGTACCCCCCCCACTTTATGATGTAGTTTATTTTCTTATTATTGACAAAGCATGACCTTTGATCACATACACTTTTTTCCTGTGCATGCACCCAGTGATATCAGTAAAAGTTTTAAGTACATATACAAGTACACACACATATATATAGACACACACTAATCAGATAAGGAAAATGCTTTGGAACATATAATGTTAGAGAATAAAGTTTTCAGAAGCCTCAAAACAAATATCAGCAGGGCAGAGCTCTTTCCATAGCTGTATCTAACCATAGAGGTTTCCCTTTAACCAAAGAAAGGCCTAGAGCCAAGTATGGTAGCTGGCTGTGGCCTAATAGGAAATGTTGCTGCAGTTGATATGGCTTGAGTAGTGGGTGTAGTAAACAGGATGTTCCCATGGCAACAAGATAGATAGCCAAAAGGTGGTAAGAACCAAATATATCCAGGACAGAGCCCAGCACTTAAGCATATGATGATTTAGAAGCCAGGCAGATCTGGGCTTGAATTTCGTTAGGCTACTGGCTCAGGACTCTTAGGTAATATTATTAACTTCATTTTCTTCATTTGAAAAATGGGGATGAAGCTGCCTGGAATGATTGTTGTAGAAATTAAGTGAAAAATTTCTGGTATGTAGCAAAGTTACTGGCACTCACAGTCGGCACATAAACTCATCTCTTATTATGAAGGGGAGATATAAAGTAGGGTAGGAGAGCATGAACTTTGGGGCCAGCCAGACTGGGCTAGAATCCTGAGTCTGACAAGTCCTAGTTGCGTGACCTTTGACAAATCCCTTTACCTCTCTGTGCCACAATTTCTTCATCCACAAAATAACAATAATATGGTATAAATCTCCTAAGGTCGTTGTGAACTTTAACTGAGTTTATATCAGCAGAGTACTTAAAAAGGTGGTAGCCAACAGGAATTGTTTGCTATTACGGCTGCAGTGCTTTCCCTAAGCTCAGGTCAATGTATAAGGAACCTTTTGTCTATGACTAGTAATTCCTTCATTTGCATTACTCAACTAACAGCTATTTATAGAGCACGTACTATGTGCAAGCACTGACCTACATGTCAGGAGGGATTGAAAAATTGTAAAACACAAACACTTTTCTGACCGTAAAGAACACAAGCCCTAAAACAGAAAGCCTGGTCGATAACTTCAATCAACATAGTATGTGGCTATTGCTAAATAAATGATAGAGAAATTTAGAGGCATAAAGTCTGCCATGAAAATAGAGATAATTGCAAAGAGAGAGCGGAGAGCTAAGGCATTAAGCTGGAACTTGAAGGAAGAATAAGAATGAGAGAGCAAAAGAGACAGAGAACAGAGAATATTCTATATCCTGGCGATGCATGAGCAAGGGCAGGTTCCAGAAACGTACTGGTCTTCCCAAGGACCAGTAAGATGGGTGTATGTCTGGAGTAGAAGGTGAGCAAGAAGGAAATCAGTTAGGAAAGGCAGTTGGGGACCGGTTTGTAAAGAGCCTTAAATGCTAAGCTATTACTTCATTGTCTAAACTGTAGGCAGTGGGGATGCAAGCAGTTTATTAGTAGTTTTTAATTTTAATGTTGATAAAAAGTACTCATCTATTTTTTTTAAAAAAAGTAGAAGTGCAGACATAAAGATCCCACAGCACATTGATGAAATCAGTGTCCCTGAAGTAGAGGCCCAGGCATATGTTCAGTGAAATGGTCCACAGGCCATTCTGACAGAGACCAAAGTTGAACCCCCTGCCACAGAGCCCTTAAAACCTGGATTACCACAAATGGTTTCTAAGACAGAGGCGTCAGAAAAAAGATAACTGGGATTTGTTGAGTGCCCACACATGCCAGGTGACTTACAGATAGTATTTCGTTTGGTTCTAACAAGAGCCCTGTGAGGGATACATTATTATTCTCATTTTAGATATAAAGGAGAGATACTCCTACATGTTGCAAATGCAGTAAATCACAGGCCGGGCATTCAAACACAGGTCTCTGGCTCCAGGACCACTGCACGTCCCACAGTATCACATGACCTCTCCATAAACACCTGTGTGCACTTTTCCTTTGAAACTTAATTCAGCTCAAACTAAGTCAAGAAGCAAATGTGGCATCATAAACACTCTCCTCCCACCTTCGTTTCTCTCCTCCAGTGACGTCTATATTTTATCTTCCCCCTTCCCTGAAACTGAGCCAAAATCACTGAGGACTATCATCACACATTCGGTTTATTTTTTTAAGCAAGCTTCTCCTAATGTTTCTTCTCTTTCCCCTACCCTTTCCTCTCCAACATCTCCTCATCCACCCTACTCAGTTTTGAAACTCCTTATTCAAAGAACACAAAATGGAACCTGAACTCATGAATTTTCTTCTATGGTTTTTTTTTGCCTGAAGGCTGATGTGAGGTGATAGCGGGGAGGGTTTTGTCTATAATAGGCTTACACGAAATCCAAAGGAAATGATGTGGATGCTCTGTTTAGCTCTCTCAAATGTCTACCAAGAAGCACCAGGAAGCGGTTCGTTATTCTAATCTAAGCAAGTTCCTCATTCTGATTTTGAAAGTCATCCTCTGCTGGTAGAATCTTACCCATAGTATGTGTGTCTGTGTCCACTTGTGACTACAAGAGACACTTAACATCTTTCCTAACATCAGTATTGTATTCTCCAGTTGCATGTGAGAGTCTCACCTTACAATGCCTCTTATTTTTTTCCCAAAAAGGCGTTAGAGTTTTCAGATTGAGTGCTTTATTTTTCTGACTGGCTGTCAGTCATGTGATGCAAGAACACATTTTTCTCCTTTTTGTATACTTTCTTAATTCTTCCGCAACTGAATATTTTACAATTTATTTTTCCCCCCATCTAAATTGAAATCCTGGGTAAATGCCTAGCAGCCTCTTTTTGGCTTTGAATATTCTTTGAATAGAATTGACAGTTTATACATTCCTTATCACACGTTGTCACTGAAGGAAATGTCTGCCACTCTGGAGCTCAGACACATGTAGACTTACCTATTACTATGCCCAAAAAGGCCTGAGCATGATTTCTAAGCCAAAGATATAACATCTATACCTATACTCTAAATATCCACTTTGAAAAGTGACACCTTCATCCCACCAGGAAGAACTGCCCGTGTTAGGAAGCCATAATGATGCTATGAATTCTCTGCAGACCAGTATGCACAAATATGCAGATCATGTAATGAAAATCCCAAGGAATGATAGTCACCTATGCTACATGTAAATAGTGACCCCTAGAGTTGCTCAGTGCATATCCTGCTCAACCACAATAGTAGCCCTTCAGTAGGAAATTTATTTTCCCCTAATGTAAATAGTTTTCCATATCCTTAATAGTTAATGGTCATTTATGAATTCTTTTGCTTGGCTAAACACTATAGTCAAGGTCCCATAAATTAAAAGTTAGAGATATAGGTTTAAGGAATAGGAAGATATATGGACAGCCTTATCTTTATTTCCCCCATATTTTTATTATTCCCTAGAATAGACTAACTTTGTTAAAAAAAAAAAAAATCATAGAGTCATTGGGATGACTCAAGAGATTAGAAATGGTGTTATCCTCAGTACATGAAAGTAGGTCGTGTAAAAGGAGAATCATTTATGGGAGACAAAACATCAGAGTCATCACACCAAAAAGACACTAAACACGGTCATGTTTATTTCAAATATAAAGTGGACTCCATATTAATAAATACTTTTAACATTGAATGTAGAAAAACTACTGTGTGTATTCTAAGAAGACAGTTTACTAAAGAATCAGAGAAAAGGTAGAGCTTTGATAAAACAGTCTGGGAATAGGAATAGCCCTGTGGATATTGTGTGGAATTAGTGTAGGGAGAGAGAGGAGTAGATAAAATTGGGAAGAATTTTCTACTCCTTTTTACTCACTGGGGCCTTAAAATTAAAAATCTGAAATTGGAAAATAAACTTTTGCCCACATACCCGCTTTCTTTCTCAATTTTGGATTGGAATCATTTATTAGAGGACACAGTCAAAAACTGGGAACAGGTACCCAGTTAGAATCTAGGTCAGATAACTCTGGTTGATAATGGGTTTGCGAGGCTCTTAGGAGGTCTAGCAAAAGTTGCTTCAGTTTATGCTTAAAGCTCAGGCACAGCCACAGTATCATCGACTGGAGGATGGAAGGCACTGAATGCTGTTGATGGCCACCTCTACTTGCTCTGCTAGACTTGAGTTCTTTCAGTGCTATCTTTGTATAAACTCATCATCCCATCTGCCCACCTGTGGTGTAGCCCCTGTGCCCTCTGGAACTGGAGTTTGGGGGGCACGTTAGCCAGGCAGCTGCCCAGGCCCCTCACCCATGGAGAGAACTCATTAAGAGAACCTGCATGGCCACTTTTTTCTGCAAACACTCAAATGGAACTATCTCAAAGATTTCGAGTTCCCCGTCCTGATTATCGTACATGATAGAGAAATGTTCCGGAAAGGGACAAAGATAGACTGTTCTCAGATCAGCATCAAGTGGGAGTGGAATATGCCTTCACTGGGTGTCTTCAAGGCATGAAAGACCCTCGGCTACTCCTGACTTTCTTAGTTCTTTTTCTCAGAAGACATAACTTTTCAGGCTATAGTTAGTGAAAGAAGACTTCAACATAAGAGCCCCCACTGCAGCATTGCCTCTCAGGAAGTTTCTGGGTAGAGGGAGAAAGGAAGAAGAGAGGTCTCCTTCATTTTGACACATGACCTTGTAGCCAAGAGCAAGGGAAAGTGGTGAAAGAGAACAAGAGAGGCAAATGCCTGGTCCTCGTAGTACAGACTGGGAACAGTTTTGAAGGGAAGAGTCGTCTCAGGGTCTGAAGGCCAAGACTTAGCCAAGAAGAGACACCAGCTGGATGACTAGAGACACTTTCACTTCCATGGATATTACAATCACAGGGCTTTGTGTTTAAGCGAGGGAGAACCTCATGGAACTCACTTCGTTTTCCAGAAGAGGAACCTGAGGCCTGGAGAGATTAAGCAGTGTACCCAGGGGACATGGAGAGTGGCAGAGAGACTGCAGGGAGCCATGTGGTTGCTACAGGTGAACATCACGCGGCGTGTGTTTAATTACATTCAAAACCCCTGAGATGAAAATTTCCCACCCTGGGGCTCTTTCTTTGCTCTGTCACCAGAAATAAACAGATCTTGGACCGAGCTTATCCATGGCATTCCCTCAGGAGAGTGAGGATGAGCTGCAGGTGTGTCCTCACTTCCCAGTCCGGGAGGCCACCTGGATGGCTTTGATCCACTCAGTGCGCTCCTTGGGGGTGGCCGCTTGCAAGAAATAATGAACTTCGTGAGCCGTAATGATCTCAAAGAGGTTCTCTTCTTCACTCTTCTTGCCTGTTGAAAGAGGAAGTGAATGACAGTAGACATGGGCACCAGAAAGTCCACCTCGTTCATCTCCCTTCTGTAATGAATGAAATTTCTATTTTTTGAATGTTCTAAGAAAATTAAAAAGGTGGTTTTCAAACTTACTATTGTTGTAGGATCATATATATTCAATTTATAATTATATATAGTATTTATATAGATAGGTACATAGTATGGTCGTGTGTTTGTGTAAGAAACGTTTAAGAAATACATGAAACACTCAAGGAGAAACATTTTCTTTTACAGTTTACAAACAAATTAAACTTCTCACTTTTGCATACCAATAGTGTTTAATGAGTATCTTTCCTCTGCTCATAATATAAACCAAGATATGACCCTAGTCTATTTTTTAAATTTATAAATAAATAAACAAACAAATAAATAATCAGATCCATAGCTAGTACCACCAGTATAGTCTACCCCCAAACTAAAACATAATATGGGGAGAAGGGAGTGAGCTGATCTAGGGGTAGTAAAAATCTAAGCTTTTGCAGCTGTAGTGTTTGCCTGTGAGTCTCTATAACATCATAATCCCCAAATAACAAGGCGGAACAAGGGTTTGGTTGTCTAACCCACATCTCCACAGTGATATCACTCATCCTTGTACCTGCAAAGTCAATCTACACCAATATGGTTATTTTATGCACCAAATCATAGACTTCTAATCTGTGACATGAAGGTCATCTGTGCTGCTAAACCACTAGCACAGACCTAACTATAACCCAGGTGCACCTTCCACTCACCACACTGCCTCATTGTACAAATGTCCCTTTTGTTGTGGGAGATTTCCTGGTCTGTAAAAGGCCCCCATTAAGAAATGTCGAGGCTCAATTACAGGCATCAGGAGGTAACAATTCTCTCTATTTAAACCAGTTCTGACGTGAAGGACTCTTCTCAGCATTGATCAAAGATTTACTCAAAGCATTCACAAAACCACTCTAACTCCCCAAGGCCTAGAAAGCAAGGGCAGCAGTTGGGAGAGAACAGCTCTTGGTTTCTCCCAGGTGTTCAGACAGAAATTCATCCATGCTTATGCCTGAAAAATTGAGCAAGTGATTGCTTTGGCTCAGGATGCCCAGGTGTGGGGAGGGAGTTTAAGTGACCACTTCTCTCTCAAACAAAAATTCATTCTTACCATCCGGGTTGCTCTCCACTGAAGTCACTACACAGCCTCTCAAGTGAATTGCTCCCAGGGGATCTTCCCCCTATAGGAGAGAAGAGTCCTTTGTTATGTTTCCAAAATATAATGTAGGGCTATACCATATTCTATTGGTACGAAAGCTACACAGACTCCCAAATAGATAAAAACAGAAGAAGATTAAAGAAAATTTCTTCCAGGTCTTTCACCCCACCCCCGGTCCCAGTTTACCCAGGGAGGCAGGATGAGGAGAAACAGGTCAATCTGAGCTTCATATCTGGAGGAGAGGTGGAGACTCTGAATCACCACCACATCCCACAAGAAAAGAGCTGCATGTTTTCAGAGCTCTTTGGCCCTATGCAACTGACGCCACAATATAACCCTCATGAGAAGGAATCAAAGAGCCCTGAACTGCAAGAAGAGGCTGAGGACCCAACCCAATGCGTTAGAGTTGGCTTATTTTACTGAGGTAAAAGCCTTCTTCTGAATATTAAACAGCCCAAATGGCTAGACTTAAATAATGCTCTCATCCAAGTTGTCCTCGAAGAGAAAGGATCACTTTTTTGTGTATTAAACCAAAAGTAAAATATTGCACCGGCCAAGTTCCTCTGAAAATACCAGATTGGGAGAAACAACAAAAATGTGTTGAGCTGACTAAATAAATAACAATATAGTGATATTTTCTTCCATCTCTCAGCTTATGCTGGCCTCAAAACCTAAGATCTCAAATTTTTGTAATAAGAGGGGGTAGGAAAAGGTAAAGGAAGGTGGGAGAACAAGAAGGAGGATATCAACATAGCGGAATCGGAAATGGGAAGCCCCAAGAACCGGTGCAGTAAAGGCTTTCAGTGGAATGGATTTATCGGCCGCAGGATCTTACCCCAGCAGGGTCATAGTAATGCAGGTATGCAGGGTCTTCTCTCAGGATGAACTTCCTCACTTTCCAGTTTTTCCTCCTATGCCCCTATATCCAGGATCAACATAAGAAAAGGAATGATGAGTTCTTAGCAGCACCTACATAATAAGTCTTTACTGAATTGAAAAAAGAAAAAAAGCTGAAACACTAACTTCAGGAGAACCAGGCTCTAACCCAGATCTTTGTCAGGGAGACAGCACAAGGGCTAATGAACAATTCAGATGTTATTAAATTATGGATTAAATTATTTCCAATCAATTAATCAATCAATCAATAAAATTATTTCCAAGGTTATCTTCCAACTTGATATCATATAAGACAGTACTACATACAATGTACTATGTTAGGTAATCTGGAGGCTATCTATAGAGAGATTTAAGATATGCCCTACTCTTCTAAGAGTTTATAACCTATTTGGAAATTTACAATAGCAAATGTTCAAATCAAATAATTGGTATAGATAGCGGATTTCAAAGGAATGAAACAAGGGATATGTAATTGTATTTGGATGTCAAGGAAAGCTTTATAAAGACCTGCACTTATCCCTGTGGTACACACAGGAGTTAGATGAATGAGAAAGAGGCCAAGTGAGAAGACCATTGACAACAAAAAAGCATCAGTGGGAACGCACAAGGCATATTCAGACATTGATGAATAAGATCGGTCTGAAAAGAAGGCAGGGTTCATGAGGAATAATGGAAAAGGAGAAGGGCTGTAGTAAAAATAAAAGGTGGGGGTGTTGCTGATAGCTTTTGAGTTGGAAAGGAGGAGATTACGGTCACATTTCAGAAAGATTAATGGGGTGACATCAAACTGCATGGACCAGCTGGCTAAGTTAAAGATAAGCCAGGGGGAAGATAATAAGGTAAAAAAGAGAGCTTTAGAAAATGATTTCAATTATTCAGGCATAAAATTGACAAGGACGAACAGCAGGTAACAGCAAAGGAAATGGGAAAAAAATAGTTGCTGTGACAGACACAATAAAAAAGAAAAATAGGATTTGGCCTTTTCCAATAGAATTGAATACTGACACTGTCTAGACTGTGGGTTTTGAGGGCAGGATTTTTGTCTCGTTTGTCTTTGCTCCACCAATGCCCAGCACTGTGCCTGGAACATGGAAGCTGCTTTATATCTGCTTGTAATCACCTTGAATTACCCAGTTATTTCAATTAGTTTTTTAAAATGTTATGGTAAACCTGATTCTAAGATTTCCCACAGAAAATTCAAATAACGAATAACTCCAGAAACCAAAAAAAAAATGTAAAAGATATACGCTTTCTATCCTGCCAACATGAAGAATATTGTTGTTTCTAAACACCACATATTGACAGACACATATATGAATTTTCCAATATTTTTCATTGTGCTCTTGTAGGAGGATATGAAACATTTATGATTTCAGCAAACAGTGCCTCCTTCATAATGCCAGGTCGGAGGAGTTTAAAGAGAGCTTTCAACAATGGGTCTAAGTTATTTGGCTGAGCATTTGGTCAAGGAGCTCATCTCTAAAGGGCCTTTTACTGGCCAGAAGGATGGAGCCAGAAATTCTATAGAGTCATATGTGAGAAGAGAGAATATTTCATCCTGCAATATCATATCCAGATAGCTTTTGCAGAGTATCGACTTCTAAAATTCTTTTTATAAATTCCTGTTCTTTGCCTTAATGTTTCCCATAAAATGTTTCTGCCCCACAGCCACTTCCTCTTGACCTACAGATATACTTGGCATGTTCTTTTAAGCAATTATTGAGTGAATACCAAGTTCTCATGAGTCAGTGGAAGAGGAAGGTATTAGAAGGATGTGAAATTAGGCAGTCCTGGCTAACCACCATTTTCCCTTTAATATGACATCACAATGTGATGCATTGAAGAGTATGATGTTAGTAAGAAGTGTCTGGCCATCTCTCATTTAACGAGTATTTCCTGAAGGATCTCAAGGAATGCATACATGCCCAGGATTTACAAGAATTAATGCTGATCTGTCAAAGTCATTTACCTGTATTTGATTTAATTCACTCTACAAATGTTTATTGCCTATTATAGACCAAGAAGAATGCTGATCTCTGCAGCAGATATGAGAAAACACATATAGCACATTGTCCCTCCCCACCAAAGAATCTATATGTGGTTGAAAAACTAAATATTGTATTCATTATCATAACAGAATAGTTATATTAAAAAAGATTATATTGAATATAGTCAAGTATCCTCGCACTTGCTACATCTTCCAAGTAGAATTATTTCCTCTGGGTTGGGAGGAGAGGGGAGAAGAAGGGTGGAGGGGAGAGGACCGACCTCCACTTGGACATAGCTACTTCCCACTTGTAAGGTGTGAAATATAGTTGTCCTTTTTCATGATTAGCCTTCTTCTCAGGTTAACCCTGGCTAACTCCCAGAGGGAGACACAAGGGTGGTTTAGTTTTCATGGCACCTAAAGAAGGCATTTAGTTAAATTCCCTCACATGACTCTGATATGAAACAGGGTTATAAACCACTGAGCTAAGAGACTGGAAACATTAAAGGGGGCTGTCGATTCAAACAGAAGAGGTTTTTGTTCCCTCCCTCACCCCGCAAAAAGGAGATAAAAGAATATTCTAAAAGAACGAAATTCCTGAACACACATAGATTTCTGTTTACTTTATGTTTAAAGGAGGTTTGTAAGGATGACTATTTAAACAGTGATGTTTCGATAATAGGATAAATTAGCTTTTAAGAAAAAGGCTCTGTGGTTCTCAACCTTAGCCACACATCAGAATTGCTTGGGGAACTGAAAAACCCAATGACTCCGATTTAATTGGGCTGGAGTGCAATTTGAACAGATCCCTGGAGGAGGAAAATGTGCACCAACTGCGCTAGCTAAGGTTGAATTGTAGCTATTGACGAGTAGAAGAAGGCGAAGGAAAACAGGGAAGCAAGGCTCTTTTGGCTCTTCTTCAATACACACTTAGGCACCCATTACTCTCAGTCAATTTTAGACCAGCCAGGGTCTCCTCTGGGGTTCTCTGCCCAGATATGAATGACTCCGTTCCAGTCCAGATTTTGTTTACCCCTTTTCAACTTTCGTGTTCAATTTCTCAGGGTCCACTCTAGACTAGGGCTTGTCAGATCAACTAATTCTAAAAGAGTAATTAATGAATGATGATATAGAATTACAGAAAGAATTAATAACATAAAAAAATAATAAAATTCCTTCCCAAGTTATTCTTCATGGCCACCTTCCAGCAGAAACGTAAGAATGTTTGGCAAAACCAATATGGAAGCCAGCGGTGGGCAAACTCTGCCC